GCTCACTCATTTGGCCGTCTCTAAATGACTACTTGGCTTCTCGCCACAAGTGTCAGAAGGCGGTCTACCCGATGGTCCTTTCATGCGCTGGGCAGCGCACGTCTTGTCCCAAACGTTGGATTTCAGGCCAAACCTCTCGGCTGAGCAAACGGGCGGAAGGGAGCACACAAATCAGTGTTGTTTTTCAGGGAAACAACTAGTAGCGATGCCCGGGTTCCTAGTAGCGATACCAGGAGCTTCTAGTGGCTTCTTGTTACCAGTAGCTTCAGGAAAAACAAGCCAAGAGTGAAAACCTCTCGGCGGAGAGTCTCGGGTCAAAGGCCCAAAATGGTCCAGCGCTGGAGACTAAACCTGCACCTGGCAGGTTTGCTTTGAATCGGCTCAGGACTCAGGACGGCCTAGTCAACCCATAGCTGTATTCCTGAGCCTGGAAAAGGAACCCATTTCTAAACCGTGAGCAAGAATGTAGTCTGGCGATCTCAACAAAGAGAAGCACATCCGCCATGCCTGTTACACTATGTTACATTAAATTTGGAGACTTCCATGCATGATCAACATGTCCCAAGCTGCCTCCTGCAAACTTTGACCTCAAATACGGCCGAGAATTTACGGCTTGTTTTCGGCATGACGTATAAACTGCGTAAACTCAAACCCATCAAAACCAGTTTGACTCACTCCCATGGAAAAGGACCTTTTCCACCTTGAAGGGAAACCCCCTTTCTGCAAGGCCAATGGAAAGGGACCAACAACACCTTGAACCAACTCACTTGGTCGTCCGCTTCGTCAGCCCTGCTATCGGACCCGGTGCAGCGAATTGAACATGGGGTCGAGCGCAGTACAGCGATTAAGGGCGGTCCTTTTGGAGAGTCAAGGAAGCAAATCACTCTTTTTGGTATGCACAGGTTGGATGATATGGTTGTGACTGGTCAGGGCCAGTGTTTGAAGTCCTGCGAGTCTTGTAGCTTGGGGCAGACGCTGGTCGCGTGCGTCGACTGACGCAATGCCGTGCAAAAACAGGGCTCCAGGTGGCACCCCTGCTGCGAAAAGCATCAGTACGAGCGAACAAGCTCAACAAGCTAGCTGAGAGCGCATGCTCCTCTTGCCATTGCAATAGAAAGGTCTAGGTGCGCTGATTCATATGCGGAACTCTCGCGCTTAGATTAGATCCACTTAGTACCCCAGGCGCAGGCACGCACCACTGGAGATTCAGCAAGCCCGCCAAAAAGGCGGAGGAATGCGATGTGCTCTTCATCCTTTCTCATCCCTTCTTTATTAACACAACCCAAGAGTCACCATTCTGCTTGCCTTAGATATACATAATATACATGATGTATGTATGTATGTACGTATGTATGTAGGTAGGTAGGTAGGTATGTATGTATTATATATATATATGGCCCCGACAATCAAGACTGTAACTTCTTTGACCTTATAACTTATAAATATCTTAAAACACCTCAGAACCACCCCGTCCCTGTAGGCAACTATTATTCCAGTCCGACCGTCTGGGAAACTCGTCTGATCCCAGTGGCGTGTGGCACGAGCACGCTCAGTTCCTGTCGCTTCATCTTGCATTTCGACCCATTCCTCGGTCCACCCCAGTCAGTGAAAAAACACATGTGAGCTGCATGAAATATCATGGGTATATTGGTCAAGGATGGTCAAGGTATATCACTTGCACCCAGCGGACGCATCTTGACTTGAGATGGCATTGCTTCACCGGTTGAACAGCCATGAAAGGCCCCGTGTCGACAAATCCACTGAGCTCCAGTCAAAAAGCATCCGAATGCTCACAAACCTCGTGACGCTGGAGGAATGTTCATGTGGGCTGTGGTGGTGAATGGGTGGGCCTCAACCTTGCTCAGGGGCCCTCCCAAAGGCACTCTTCATTATTTAAACTCTATAGGGTAGATAGTCTTAAGTTGAGCCAAGTTGCTCTGGAGAGTGCCCCTTTTCTAAGCAGCATGTCAAGTAGTCCTGCAAATTGGAAGGCCAGCTTCACTTTGACAATTCTCTCTCGGTTCTTTGTGTTCCTCCCATCCGCCTCTTCATTGAGCGCCTTCCACACAGATGACACTTTGGACGCGAGCTTGGCCATGCGAGCTCGGCCCAATCTGTCCCTAGCGAAAAGTTACGTATCAGTTCTCAATCGATCGGCTTCTCCTCATCCCATGGGTGTGCCTGGTCCGTCAAATGCTCCGGGTTGCCTGGTCCATTTGAGGCGAATAGAGGCACATAGAGGCACAGCAAGCTGGCATCCGTTTGGAAAGGCCCTTAGTGTGGTTTGATGTCCAAAATGGCCGGGGAGGCCATATTTCTACATCCTGAGTGCCGGATTGATGTCCGGTTCTATCTCATCTGGAGCTTCCTTGGCCTGACACCGCCCAGTCATGCCGGCCATCATGGCCCGGCCCCTCAGGCTCCCGGCGGCGGTAGCATTTGGTGCCATAGCTACACCTGAGAGACGTGTCATCTCATCGAGAACTCCAAAGAATCAATATGCATCTGTGTATGTATGATTATTAGGTTTCTACATTATATATGTTGCCAGAAAATACACCTGAGCTCTAGTTCTCTCTGTCTCTCGCCCACAGTAGAAAAAAAACACACACAAATGGGACGCAAGATCCACCAAAATGATTTCAACTATGACTACAACTTTCAACTATGATTTCAACTATGATTCAACTGTTGTCTCTTTGTAAAGAACTGTTCATCATTCATCTATCTAAGTCTGATACGTGACTACATGGACGCAAGAGGACGCAATGGACGCGACAGGGCGATCTCCGCTCAACGCCGCCGCCGCCACTGGGTGCCACCGGCAGCGGTCGGGTCGCGCCGGTGGCTTTGGTACTCCCCCTCCGCCTCAGTGGGACTGTGCTGACACCTGTGACTTCCTTGTTCCTTGGACATATAACATGGTCAATCCTTCTTTCAGCTCCAAAACGGCTAGGGAGAAATATCCCGCCGATATATTCGAGGTCGAAACAAAGAAAAAGTACATGGCAACTCGGGGGAGGGAATGTAGACTATATCTCAGCAAAGTGGACCCGCACATGCCGCACAAGTTGGTGAAACGCGTTCGTGTTGTGAAAGTTCTGAATGACGATCGTCCAACAAACTTTAAAGGATTCTGCTCACCATCTCAGTTTCCTTGCCAAACTCTTTTACCGCCTGTTGACCTTTGGCGATGCTTTGGCTTCTGACATTCGGCTCATAGTGCGCCAACTTCGCTATGGTCATCCCAGCGGCATGCCGCCTTGATGACTTAAGGACTCTTGGACCCCTGAAGCTCCAATGTGATGTAGACAGGGCTTGATCTCAAAACCGTGCTCGTTCTTCACCCTACATGTCAGCCATCCTCAGGTCACCAATTATGCCGTCACAACCAGGAAGATAGAGGTGTCTCGTACTCGCCAGCCCAGGTGTTGAAAGCATTAAATCAGTTGGTTCTTCTTGCACATTCCGACTCGTCAGCGCTAATTGCTAATCAGCTGAGGATTCAGAACCGAAGCTGGGCGCTTCGTGCTTCGGTACCACGATGTCGAGATCGAACGAACGGGTGCGAACGGTGCGAACTCGGGCACTCGAAACACCAGCGATTGCATTACTAAAATCACAAAAGGATCCATATCGCGGGACTCGGGGCGTTCTGCAAAAAGACTAACCCCAAGCCCCAGCTAGCAACCCAACCCACGCCTGTGGCCATGGATGGCCGTTATTCACGGCACCGTATGCCGAAGTGTTGAGCCAACGGGCTGAGGATGTCCAGCGGAGTTTGAAAGACAACATGAGTTTGCTGACTAGCGAATTCCGACTGCAAGTTCCCCCGTGCGGCGGTCCAGTAGAAATTGATAAATAGGAATATAGGACTTATTTAGATGCACGATGCACAACTCCAGGAAGGCCAGTATATAATTAGGTCAGAAAGAAAATCCACTGCTCGAGTCATTTTGCAAGTTATTTCGAGCTGAAGTTCTCAAATTTCCTGCTGAGCACCCGCTATTGTCTCTTAAAAAGGCCACGCGTGTCGATGCCTGCCTTGCGGTGGAACGTGACTGGCCTGAAGTGGAGCACAGGTGGAGGCACTCCGGGATTATATATGAGTATTAGGAGATACACCGCTCAAATGAATAATTGCCCCTAACTAGGAGTTAAACAATACGCAGGAGAAGCTCAATCTCATTCCATTATAATACCAGAACCCATCCCAGAACCCCATCCACATCCAAAACACCTGGAATGTCACAGCTCGGTGAAGCTAAGGCTTCAGCTGATTGGTTGGCACTTTGGATGAGCGTCCCGACCGCTTCTGTGGCATACTGCCAGCACGCCTTCATTGCGCAAGCCATGTGTGGTGAGTACATCAACCTCCGTGCTGTCACAATCTTCCATCTCGGCCTCAGATTCTGTTTCAGAGCCTATGACATCCATGACTTGAAACACCGGTCTTCCGCTTCACGCTCCGGATTCGGAGTCTTCACCCCACCACCGTGAAACGCCTCACACTGCCACATTGTGCCAAAGCTCGCCCGAGCATTGAATCCTTGGCCGATGCGAAGACAGATCTTCACCACAGAATTTGGCGGGGTGCCCAAATGCTGGTGTGATGGATAAAGAAACAAGCGTCAGAACCCCCCAAAAAAACACCGAGCGTCCTCAGGTGTTGAAAGATGACCGAAGGGGCTGTGACATCTGAAGGATGAAACACGTCATGACAACAATACATCTCTCGGACTCTTGGATCTCTCTCGACCGAGCTGCGCGAGCTGGGAATGGCACGATATATGGCACGTGACGTGCATGATCCTTTTTGGCAGCACGCGTTCCTGTGCGAATTCCGACCTGCGGCTGCATCTGCTTTCTACATGGAGAGGCTATGAGGAGCTGGCACAGCTGAAAGCAAAAGGAGGCTCAGTCATCGCAACTTGACGAGTCGTAGATGTGGCAACTCCGCATACTGTATAGGTGCCATGCAGGAAAAAACCTTGAACCCTTTAGACGACCTGCAGTGTCTCAGTCTCTGCCCAGGGGTTCCAGGAGTCATCTAAACGATACCTCAGTGGTCCGAATCTGGAAGAAAAAGGTGGCCGCTCTCCTGCCGATAGAGGGTGTAAACAAAAGCAAAAAGCAAACAAAACATAACAAAACCAACAACGATCAAAAACTCGACGATTTGGCCGTGCTGCTGCAGGAGAAACCACAGGGTAATTTGATCTGCCACGCCATTGTCCGGCAAGTCCATGTGCCCACCATCGTAGTAACAGCGCATGATCCGCCTTCCACTGCTGCAGCTCTTGTAGTCAAAGCAATGGAAATTGCTGGTACCCCCATCCCAGTAGGTCTTGGTGGGGCTCGCCTCACTTGACTTTCGTCAGCTACCAAGGACTGGTGATGGGTGTGAACTGTTGTCTGGGTGAAGGTTGAATCGAAGAGCTTTCCATTTTTAAATATAACGACATGAGTGTTACAAGAATCATATGATATCGTATGGTGGTTCCACCTGAGAACGTTCTACTTTGTTAGTGTTCAATCCATAAACACACGCAGGGTTTGCAAACGCAAAACCTGTTGGTCTGGTCGGATTGTCAGCCGGAAATGCTTAACAATCATATGTATATAATATATACAAATAATGGATTATATTGGTTATGAATGTTGTACTTGGCCAAAACTGTGTGAAATCGGACCGCACAGTGCCTGCCACACAAACAAAGTGTGTGTGTGCGCGTGAAAAAAAAAGGACCTTAAAACATCTTAAAACAACACATTTTCGCCCTCCTGCAAACAATACACGCCCTATAGAAATTGATCGAGTTGGATCGCTTTGCTGCTGGGATTTTGGTTCCAATACTTTACGCATGAAACCACACCTTCGTTGTTAGAGCCCAGTAAGTAGGCTTGATTTGGGTGGGAATTTTAGGGACACTTTTTCCATACTTCAAGTTTTGCCCGACCAAACCACCAACAAACAACTGTGCAATGGACTCAGGTCAGTTGCTGTGGTGTCGCAATCGTGAACGGCAGCCCAACCTTGCTGGATCTTATTCAGGGGCTCGTAGATCCACTTGTTGCCTGAACCGGAAATGGCCAAAAGTGGTAGGTCTAGAGAGTGGTAGGTCTAGAGGGCTAGAAGCGGCTAGATAATGTTGGATGGTCATGGGGTTATGACGTGCCTGTAGTATCCTGTTAAGTTTTTGTTGCGCACATCTCTTACCAAAGAAAGGGCGATGCATATATTTACAAGGGTAAACCAGCTCAAGTAGTTTTCGCCAAGATGTGACCAGCCATGCGCCGCATGCGCCTGCGACTCCACCTGCGATTGGCATCACATCATCATCCCTCCCATGCAACTGGAGCATGGCGGTTTGCCGACAGTCTTTGGAATCGCGAACCAGCTCAAATTGGGCACCCAAACCTTGATTGTTCGTGTCTTGATCGATTAAAGGCACGGGCCAGTGGGGCCATGAGAAGGTTTGTTGACTTCAAGAGCGGCAACAAACATGAACATTTGGATTCTACATAGAGCTAAAACGAAGAATCGTGTGCAGAAGGTTTCTTCTACTAACTTCAGGCTTATACCTCAAGCAAGCAGTGTGCGCACGCCGGATTCGTATATGATGCCAAGCAGCCCCGTTCACTGCCCAACGCCTACTACGCAAACGTTCTATCTTTTGGACATGTGCTCACGGGCCTTCAGTCGCAGGGGCCCTGGACAAAACACCAAGCACGCCATAGCACTTCATACAATGTCTAAAATTCAGGGATGTGATCTCGAATAGTCTTCTTCCTCCTTCCTTCTTGTTTCCGCCGCCTCGGAGACGGACCTCAACAGCAAGTGCCAGATCGCAGTGGGCACTATCGGACCTCAACACACAACACACAGAGAACAACATACAACCACAAACACAACACACCAAACACAACCACAAACACTCCTAGCACACAACCACAAACACACAACGACAAACACAAGCACAATCACAAACACACAACCAACAAACGCAATCACAAACACACTACCACAAACACACAACCACAAAAACACAATCGCAAACACAAACACACAAGCACAACCACACAACCACGAACACAATAACACACGCAAACACAATATCACACACACACACACTACCACAACACACACACACAAACACAGCACCACAAACACAACTACAAACACACAATCACAAAGACACAACCACAACCACAACTACAAACACACAATCACAAAGACAGCCACAAACACGCTACCACAACACGCAACCACAACACACAACAACAAACACACAACCACGATGGCAACATGCTCCTCACCATGGCATGACAACAAACGATTGAAATATCATGATGGGATCAATCGAAGTAAAGTAACTCGGCAACGGAATGTGATGGACCTCATCGTCAATTCTGCGGGGTCTTTGGGCATCTACTGTACATAGACGCGTGGTGCAACCTTTCCCGTTGCTCCAAGGCGCCATAGCCCAAAAGTGGGGAGCCAAACCAAGGTGCTACAGCCGCGAAAACACCTGGCAAAGACTGCACCAGGTAGTGCGCCAGCATCCCACCGTTGGATTCACCCGTGACATAAATGCGAGAGTGATCAATGCCTCAAACGTTGCCGAGGTCGGCCAACCAAATTCTTCGGCTCAAATCCCCGTGCGTGCTTATTATTCCATCTTGTGAACTTCTCAGCTGGTAGGAGCCTTTCTACAACAGGTGGATTCAAACAGCGGCTGCTTGAGTTCTGGTAGCTTACAAACAACATTAAGTTAATATAATTACCGGGCATATCCCTGCCGCAGCCCTGCAATCTTCCACCTGATTTTTTGAGACAGGTATCAAACAAACTGAACTGATAGCCTCGATGCAAAGAACCGCACTGATGGCTTCGATAATGGAGACGATGAAGAGCCGTTCATCGTAGCATCCGGACCAATTGCAACGACCACACTGGTTTTGCTCCCAGCATGATGCGTAGCAGTCTGCCATCACCTCGTCCCCAATGCAGGTCTGATTGTCACCTTCAAGGCATCCAAACACTCTAGACATCGCACGGTCCCAACGAAACAACCGCAAAAGCAATGTAGTCTCTTGATCAATAAGCCATCCCATGCGAAGAGGATTTTCAATTCGGTTTATTCATCGAGAGTGTACATTGTGCGGAGAAATCACAAAATCAGGTCATCTGGCGGCCGGACAGAGTGCCCAAGAACAGCTGTGTTTGGCTTCAGCCAAGCAGAACGTGCCCCCACCTGCGGTACCCACGTTCCACCCCGTCCCCAAATCAGAGCCACCAGGCACAGCGTCATCCAAGCCCTGGGGGAAAACGCTGACGAAGCCTGCGATCGCCGGGGGCGAGGAGAAAACACGACGCTGCCCACAATAAAAGATCCAGCGTTTCAGGGTAAAAACCTGCTTCATCAAGGTTCGCAATGTTCAATGATGATGATTGAGACCTTGTCAAAGGACCGTCTGAGAAACTTCCTTTTCTTCTCAAAAGGGCCTTTCTTGCGTTTGCCGCTGCTAGATGGACCTCCGTGCATAAATGTATGCCTTGTTTTCCAGGTTGTGCACCTCCAAGTGTCCTGGCAAAGGGCTTCTCGTCTACTGAACTAATGGGCAAATTCTTCCCGCCTAAGGCCTGCCCAAAGTTTCCAAAGTCATGTCCATTGGCGTAGCCTGGGCTGAGACAGCAGGCTTAGTCTAAACACACCCACACAGACATCCCTCTGAAACGAGGAATGCCTGGGTACTGAATGTTCGTAGGGGCCGTGGCCCAGTGGCGGCAAGGGAGGGGGCAAAATGCAGATCCTGGTCCCCTATCCTACTCTCAGAGCAGGATCAAGAAGTCCAATGGTTGTATGCATGATTGTTATATAAATAGGATTTGACTTGACAAGTGAGGTTTGCCACCACTGGGCTTGGCCCTGCATTGTGGTTTGGAAACTCTGGGCGGGATGTGGCACAATCAAAACACTGACTATTGGTAAAGTTAATCTTGTTTTGTGTTTCTTCTTTGTGGAACCATGATGCTAAAATATAATGTACAGTCTAAGCCAAAATGGCCTTCAAGATCAACATGTATATATATATAAGACAGCAAAATAGCTGTTGATCAGCTCTGGATCACTCTAAACTGCTCAAAGTGATTGGCAGTTCAGAACTGAAGTTGTGTCTACTCTCAGAGCAATGTATGTATGTATGTCTATCTATGTATGTATGTATGTATGTATGTATGTCTATGTATGTGTCTATGTATGTATGTCTATGTATGTATGTCTATGTATGTATGTCT